AGTAATGTCAATATTACATTCTTTCTTTATATAACTTTGCAGATCAATCCAAAATGTTTTTTTACAACAGGGACATAATCAAAATAAATGTTGTAAGGGCTACTTTCACAAAGGACAAAGTTATCATCTATATTAATTTTAAATCTCTGCACAACAAGGGCCTTATGGACCATATGTTTGTAAAATATAAGCCAAGTTTCTGTATCATTATAGAACATGCATGTGTCACTTCAAACCCTGGGCACTGCAGTGGTGTCCTGGGTTTCTAGCTTTTGGTACCAGTGTGGGTGGAGTTTGCATGTTGTCTTGTGTTCATGCAGGTTTTTGCTGTGATTTTCTTGCTCTTTACTATCCTTCCAATTGTGTTTCTCAGGCTTCCTGTCTTTAGTCCAACAGTGTTCTCTCTCTACATCTGCACCCCAGGTCTTCTCATCTCTCCCCATGTATCGCATTTACTGTATTCTGACAATGCTGAAAGTTTCCTCTTTTTTCCTCCCTCGAATGTTGAGGCCACCTCCTGCATCTCTGCCTGTTCCAAAGCCATCTCCTCCTGGATGAACTGCCACCATTTCAAGCTCAACCCCTGAAAGTCTGACCTCCTTTTCCTTACTTCTCCCTCTATGAGCCTCTTTATATTCATCCTGCTTCCACCAACCTCTTCACCTTCTCCTGTGGTAAAGACCCTGGGCATCACTCCTGAGTCGTCCCTCTCCTATTCCAAACACATTTCTTCTTTAGCACACTCGTTACTCTTCTTCTTGCCAACATAGATGACCATACAGTAACTCTTTCTTGATGGTCTTGATGCTAAAACAATCAGTCTCCTCCAGCTCATCCAGAGTTCTGTGGTTCACCTTACGGTTTCTCTCCCTCACATTTCATTGACCAATCCATTACTCCACTCCGTCCAATGGCTCCCTTATGCTGTACAGATCCAATTCAAAGCCCTAGTCTCAGGTTCTCTGATTCTAATTGGAGAGATTATAATGGTGCCAAATCTCCCAAAACACTTCCTGCCAATTTCTCTGTTCCTCCTCATCAGCCAGGCTTTCTGTACCCACTCCCACTCTGATTTCCCAAGCCCATTCATTCTCCACACTGGCTCCTCAGTGGTGGAATTACTGCCCCACAGAAATCAGAACTACTCAGTCTCTGATCATCTTTTGGCACCTGCTCAAGACTGCTTAAATCTGCTTCAGAACATAAAAAGCTAAGATCAAGCTAATTGTAGTTCATCGATTTTACTGTATTTGCATCAACTACTGGAAATGAGTTCCTGAATGAGTCAGGTGAGACTGGATCAATTGAGTCTTGCGTTTGTAAACGTAAATACAGTACAAGTTCACTCTGGTTCTCCACCATCTACTTTCAGAATGAGCAGACAAACCTGCACAGAAAGCTGTTTTCATAGAAAAGACCCAAAACACATATTTTAGCTTTTCCCCATACAGTATATGACTTCTTCAGGGATTGAACACTGTTTAGTATTACATTACCATGCACCAAAAACTGTCCAAGACATTGGAGGAACGGACACATTGACTGGGCACTGGGATGCGGACAAAAAGGAAGGGGATTTCATCTCACATACTGAATCAATAGCAACCGTATTCTGGGAGGGAAAGGGTGTAGGGTGTGGTGGCGATTATGTTTGTAGAGTTACCCACGGTGGAGCCAATGAAATAGTTACAACAGGAGACCGACCAAACAAACAAACCGCCACCAGAACAGGCCTGCCACCAAAACAAACTCCCTTCCACAAGACAGATAACTCCTAGGGTGTCGTATTTGGAGAGGCTGGAGGTTAGGGAAACAGAACGTGACAAGGCCTGAGGAACTCAGCCGCTCCCACCCACTCAATAACACAGTTTGCTGCATTACTCCTGCGTGTCGGTGCAGCGGGCCGGCTGCAGCAATGATTTAACTTTGACCGCGGTATGATTATCCTGTAATTATCACACACACACAAAGAGGATGATGGAAATAATGAGGACAGTTTAACAAAAATCCTCCAGCATGGGAGGTTGTTTTTAGCCCTGCACGTGAAATACGCAGCACAATTTTCAGATCCCTCTAATTTGGCGGTAATACAGAAATGTCATAAACAGTGTAAAGCTCTTATTTCTAGTCACAACACAGAGTGAAAAGTGTGGTTATAAACCTGAATAATAACCCTGATAGAAGTTACTCCTTTTTTGAAAAAATAAAACATTTCCCTTTTCTGACAAGCCCAGATGTTAGGTTCCCGTACACCAGACATTAGCATTACCTTTTTTTGTACAGTTGGTTATTTTTTAGTTATAATTATAAATCTTCCTTTGTTCCAAAGCTAAGTTAAACTCCCTTCTCAACCAAATGGTAGTGTGAAAACCAATACATACATCAAACTGTAATAAGATCCCAGACAGACTATTATAGTAAATGCTACTAATAATACTAGGAATCGTTTAGCTAACATTACACTCCTCAAGAACTATTTATTTAGCATTACAGGAATATAAAGAGAAAATATATGTATGAAAATAAATCTGTCCAAGAATCTGGCTTTGCCCTTGTTGTAACATTAAGCATATTAAAATGATAAGGTACGCTGAGTATATAAGACTGTCTAAATAATAACAGTAGATTAATTATTTTAAATTGTAAACATGAATAGAACAATTTAAACTGAAAGAAAACATGAAGAGATGTCAGTGAAAATAGACAAAAAAAAAACCCAGCATCAGACAACAATGTGTGAATTATTTTTAAGTGTGCAGCTGTATTTGCAACTCTCTCTCTATAACAATCTGGAACATTCCAAACAACAGCCAACAAAACTTGAATTGTAACCAATACTTAAAGCAAAAACAATTTGCAGATCTGTATTTTCAGTACAGCATACATTATGACAAAACTTTATTGTCTGGTTAAAATGTACGGAATGAGCTTGAACCACTGTTAACTTTGAAAACTCACCTCGCACTTCTAAAGCAGTCGAACGTCTCTTCCATCTCGTGGCTGATGTGAGATGTCATACTGTTTAAATGAGACTATGCCAGAATGAACACTAACTGTCACTTTCTGTGACAAAGGTTTCAACAAGTCCAGAGACTTGAGCTCAGACTATTCTCCACACACCATCTGCAACCCAAAACCACTAATCCATTAAAACATCTTAAAACTATCTGGAGGTCTCCCTCTATTTTTACTTGACATGAATGAACAAGGAGTACAAAACATTTTTTTTTTGTGCAAATCTCATTCAGCTCCTCTCTCCTGTAACTCATTGATTGGGTAGTATTTTTGAAATCTAGGTCCTTCTGCCACCTGGGAAACGCCATTAAATTCACTCTAAGAAACACTGGGGCTGATCTCAAGGACGGTAAGCAAACGAGATATTCTTTCACAAGTCTATTAGGAGAAATAACAACCATCCTATATCTGAAACCAAAACAGTATTAGAGCAGTTATGAGCTATTCTTGTCATTCGGGATGAAACCTAAGTTAAGTTCTACCTCTGATCATTATCACCCCTAAGGAAGGAATCATTTAATCTGGTAAGTTACTGCTTTTCCTAACACTGTTATCATTTTCTTTATAAAATCACATTTCTCACACGTTGCCATATACTTTCTTTTGTAAAATTAATCAGAAATTAAATAAAATTGGAATATATGATAATTATATCTGATAAAAACATAGTTTTGATGGGATTTTAATAATTGCATTATTTAATGATGTGATTGCCATACAGAATATTTTACGTATATACAGAAAAATTGATCACCATGCATAAAAGTTTTGTGTGTTTTTTTGAAGAGGGCATAATGTTGTCACACTCCATGCTCCAAAAGAGGACAAAATATTATCCACAACTACTGCTGTTTTTGAGATACAGGCTTATCAGATACAAAGGATTACATAAGCATAGCTAACCTGTTGCCAGGAAAAAAAAGTAATTCGGTTTACACTGATTTAGTGTAAGGAGAATGGGATTATCAGATATGACATGAAACCACAATATAATGTTTCACTGGTCAGCAGCAATATTGTCTGGATAATGGCAGATGACATTTAAATCTGACACAGCTGTTGTAAAATAATACTGCATAAATATTCTCCTCTTCTGAAAAGGAAGAGACTGCTGGTTGAACACAGGACAGATCAAGTGATTATTTTTACAGATGGTTCTTTATGTATAAAACTCATACTGCTTCTTAATGTGATTCTTAATGTGAATGAGTGGGATGTTGTAACATCTAGGCTATATGAACACATGAACAATTGATCCTCTTAACATCTTTCTGGGCACTATTTTAAACAACCAGTTCAGTCAAGGCTGTCATGTGTGCAAAACTACCTACCTTGCTGTAATAAATCATTTGCTGTACTAATTTTGGTCTGTTTTTGAGAACCTAAAACCAATAAAGTCAGGTTTGCACAAAGTACCCATCCTGTTCTGAACGTTGCAGAGAACATTTCTAATGACCTACTTGACAGCTGGTGAGATAAATCACATCTCTCTACATTGGCGTTCAATCGCTAGCAACCAGTTTGGAAGTGCTAAGGGAATCCATTTTGGTGTCCTCTAAAGTAAAAGATTGGCTAATGTTTCAGAGTACAGTACAATAAATCATTTCCTTCAACAAGGCGTGTCAGATCAAACTTGAAATAATGTTTAATAAATGACAAATGATGTTTCATAAAGGGCTTTTCCAGGATAAGCTGGAAACACCCAAGTAACGTTCATCTAATTATTGTGAAATTTTAAGTGGTATATTTTTAGCTTTCATTTGAATAAAATGTATCAGTTTCATATGATATTTAAAAATGAAAAGCCCAAATAATAAAGATACACACCATTTGTAATGTTGTATTATCCCAGTTGACACAACGCCTGTTCATACAATATGACTATGTAAGAAGGCATTACTAATCCATACAATATGAGGACTGTATGTAAGAAGGCATTACTTAACGATACCTGTAGAGCAGAGGTTAGGGCTTTGCATTTCTGAACCAAAGGATCTTTGATTCAAATCCTAGTGGGCAGGCTGCTTTTGTACCTTTGAGCAAGGTACTGTAATGTATGTCATGCAAACACTTGTACCAAGTACCCTGCTGTATTGATGAGTCTGCTGTCTGTCATTATAAATATGATATTATCAGTTGAATTATGTGGTAAAATAGAGAAATGCCATTAGTGATAACCAAAAGGTTTTTTTTACAAACCCTTCCGTTTTCCACAAACAAGCAGAAGTGTAAGGAGGCTCTGAATGGACAAACATTAGCTAGTCAAAGATTACACCGGGAAACATGCTTCAACCCAGAAACTGGACTGGAAAGCAAAGGAATAAAAAAACAAAGAGCTTTGGCGATTGTAGTTTGCAACCTTCTAATCTTGCAGGTTGTAAAATGATCTTTTAATCTTGAACCGGTTTCCCTTTAACGTCTGCAAAATGCTTAAGTGGACCTTAAAAATCCACATACTGTAGCTAAACCAGATCCCAGCTTCAGTTTGGAATAACTGTAGTGCACGTGGCCTTCAAAACAAACACAACTAATTTACTGTGCTTCCTTGTAATGATCACCTGTCTCCTGCTGTGCCAAGAGAAGCAACGTGAAACCGAAGAGACAGATGCGTCAACCGAGTCACCTGATGAATGTTAATCAGTTCCTTTCTGGCAGGTTATTTACTAAGGGGCAGAGCAAAGACACTCATGGGAGTCCAAGCATTTCAATGTTACCGATGTCAGGTTATCAGTATGGCTGCACAGGAGAAAATACAGTGGTCTATATAGTGCATTCTTGGAGAAAAGAGGCACCCATCCAGCTGGGGTTAGCAGATTTGCCTTAGCTTTTGTAAGCTTAACAATTGCATGAGCGAAACACGTTTCCTTAAATACGAGGGAACGTCACTCCCCATTTTGTTTACCTTATTCCCTGATGGATTAGCATCCAGTGAAAGAAAAATGTCTTTCAGCTGGTATATACAGATTTACTTATTTAAGGACTGGAATAACACTTCACGTTACTGATCTGTGAATAAAAAAAAAACAGAAAAAAGTTAATTCTGGGAACATTGTTGGCAAACTTGCATCTTTTTCTGTGCACAATATGCCCATTTTCCACCAGCGTTGTTCGTATCACTCATTGCTGTGCGGTAGGTGGAAATCTCGTGATGTCATAAACTCGCCCCGCTTTTCTACGGATTCGGTTTCCCACGCCGTTCCCAGCCTGTCCCTCCGCGCAGTTGGGAAAAGGGGTGGAGGCTGTGGAGTTCTGGAATGCGTGCTTTTGCGCGTTCCCGATATGCCCTCTTCCTCGGTGTGGCGCGCAGGAGAGCAGCGTGTACGCGCGGCGGGGCGACAGGTCTGCGCTCAGAGAAGGGAGAACAAGAAACGCAGGAGAGGGAATGATGGCGGTGGAGGAGTGACAAGAGTTTGAAAGTGGAAATTGAAAGAAAGAGCACTTACCCGGCGCCCCAAGAGCCCCCCAGATACGAAAAGTCGAGGTAAAGCACTTTAAGTATTTCGTCAATGCATCTAGTTCTTAAGGCGGATTGGCGATCTCTTAAACTTGTTTGATTGCAGTGTTGAAACGATCGCCGGGTGCAGTTCATTGAGAGTCTTATTTGCAACCGAAAAAAGTGTTTTCCCAACTGTTGGGAATCCAGATCGGCTTCTGGTGTATAACCGTGAGATAATCTGTCACTCTCGTAATTCTTCACGATCAATTGTGTAGCCGGGAGTTTGTAGCAGTAGCCAGTCTCTTGGTAAAGTAGGTGTGGATTTCTTCTTAAGAGGGTTTCAAGAACTGCTTCTTGGTTCAAACATGGGATCTTGTCTGCTTCAGATTGTAAAGACGACAGTTTATCAAAAGACACGTGATTCCGATAAAATTCTCTCGGATCGGCGTTTTGACTCGATCTCCCGTGAGAAATGAGAATCTGTTTTGGCAAACTTTTTTTTGTTGTTCAAGTCCGAATATAAAACTTTTAAAGGCGGGTTTTCAGTATCGGATGTGCCAAGACGCACAGCATACAGCCATCTCTTAATCTTAATTAAGGTCTTAATCGTTAACTATATTTTCTCCTAGATGACCAGAATCTGTGATTTCTGAAGAACAGCGGAGTTGGCACATTGTTGAGCTCGTTGGGATTGATGGCAAGTGAAGAATAGAAAGGGCGGTTTATGAAGCGGCAACGCAACCGATTTAAAAAAAACCCGAAAACAACCACAGTGGAATATCCCCCTCCATCTACCTTCCTGTACTCTGAGAAATATTTGAACACTTCCTTGTCTCATCTCCTTCTTCAAAATGATAAAGACGGAGAGCAAAGGTGACCGGACGCTGAGGAGCGCGTCTCCTCACAGAAACGCTTACAAGTCGGACTTCCATGCCATCAAATGCTCCTTTGACGGGGCCAGAGCCGACAGCGCTCCCAAGTCGTACGCGAATGGCTCCAGCGAGACCCGGGAGGAGACGAGGGGGAGACCTTTTGGTAACCGAGTGAACAAAATCAAGAACATTTTCCTTCAGATGGACGGTCAGCAGCCGGAAGTCGCGGAGGGCAAGGCGGCGACCAAAAGCGAGGTGCCTCAGGTCACTCCCCCAAAACTGGCCTTTGCCGCCGGCGTGCATAAACCTAATTTCGGCGGTGCCAGCCCAGAGTCCCCGACCTCAGACAAGACCCACAAGGGTGAAGACGCGGAGATAGACAAAGTAGCGCTGGCCGAAAAGTTCTCGGTGACCAGAAAACTGTTTGAGAGGGGCATCCAGGAGCAAACCTCTGGGGAAAAACATTCTCCCACCAAAATAAGGGGGCGGATGTCGCTGGGCAGCGCGTCGGACGAAGGGAGAGGCACGAGGCGGTCGTCGGGGTCTTCGGAGAGTACGGCGAGCAGCGTGAAGGCCGACCACAGCCCTACCTCAGTGACGAAAGGCTGGCAGGAGGAGAAGAGCGACAGCGAAGACGCCAAGCACGTGTCCAGGCTGTCCCTGAACGCCGGCCCCATTTCCCGCAGGCTGGAGAACTTCATGGTGGATAGCGATAGCGAGGAGTCCGGCAGCAGAGCTGTGGTGAAAGAAGCAGGAAGTCAGGGTAAACGGCACAGTTCTTCGAACTCGGACCTCTCCCAGCCCACCTCCCCCGTGGGTGACGGGTGGGGTAAGCCATCTGAAGATGCCGCTAAGGCACCCAGCCTGCCGGCAAGGGATCAGACGCAAACTCAGTCATCGGTCAGTGGCAGTTATGGGGCGCCGGATGTTGCCAAGAGCGACGAGCGAGGGGCCCAGGGCGCCGCCAGGAGCAGGCCCCCAGGCCGAGGCCCCCCGCCGGAGCAGGTGGGAGTGGGCGTGGTCAGGGCGGAGCTGGTGGTGGTGCAGAACGAGTCGTCGGAGAGCGACGAGAACGCCGAGGGCCCCGACGACAACGAGGTGTTCGAGGAACCCCCCGAGGAGGAGGGCCGCCAGGGGCCGCCCGCCGGGCCCTCTCCCCGGCAGGAGCGAGGAAAGGCGGAGGCGAGGGGGGCCGAACGCGGCGGCGGGGAGGGACCGAGAGGGCAGACGGAGGAGGACAGGGAGGCGAGCCGGACGGAGGATTACCCCGAGGAAGAGGAGAGCGAAATGGAGGAGCAGGAGGAGGGCGGCGGGGCGCGGGTGTCCCCGGTCATCTACGGCATCGAAAACGCGGCCTTTGTGGATGACAGGGACACGGACCAGGAGCACCAGGAAAGTGAGCGCGGAGAGCACCAGGCAGAGGCGTACGAGGAGATTCCTGGTCTGTCGGACGAGGAGGACGCAGGGCCGAAGAGGAAGATTAAGTTCTCGACTTCGCCGATCCGGGTATTTATGTCTTACCCTTTTCACCCTCCCTTCACACAAATCCAAACACTGCCTTCGCCGAGCACTGAGGCAGGACATGTTGAGAGTTATTAAAAAAAAACAGGCGAAAATGTCAATTAGGAGGTTTTAATGTACCCCCGGGTTTGCACACAGAACAGATTTTTAAATCCAATCTAAAGGGGAGCTTGATTTAATGAGAGCGTCTTGAAATCTGTACAGTTATGAAAAGAAGTGTAGATGTCCACAAGACCTTGTCTAAGATGCTGATGGTCTTTTAAGCACAGGACTTTATTTTCTACATGCAAAATCCCTTTGAATGCTTTGTATTTGAAGCAAAAACCTTGCCTCTTCAGTGAGATGCTGTGCCTACGGAAAAAAAAAGAAATCGCTTTTGCATTTTGAGGTTTAAGTACAATTATGAATGATAGCATCTCCTGGGGTCATGTGGACGTTGTTGGTGTATGGAGAGGCTGGTCTGCCCTGAAATTGTTCTTCTAACTTTGACAGAAGGAGCCAGAGTGCCGTAAGTCCAGCACAGCCTTTTTTTTTACCAGATTATTCAGGCAGAGTCAGTGGAAAAAGTAATGAGGAATATTTGTGGAAACATTTGTTTATGTTATGTAAGACATCTGCAAAAAATAAAACAAGAAAAGTGGGCTGCAGATGAGGTCACAGCAATGAAAGGAGGTTGTGTGTGCGTACTGTACCTGTAGTCTGGTGTCTGAGGATTCATCTGGATTCCCAACTCACCGCACACAAGAGAGCCCTGACCTTGGAAATAGAGGAACGTCTTGGATTTATCTACTTTATTTGTTCATTTCTAGAGAAATGGCCCTGTACAGTCTGTTCATCTCTTTTTATAAGTTTTATCAAAGTGCTGCAAGAAGAACTTCTTTGGGGACCAGAGGGATCTGTTACTCATTAGATATTCATTTTGCAGCTTAATTTCTAGTGGGACTTCATCTCACCCGGTTAATGTTAACTACTCGTTCTTTACCGTGTGAGATGCCGATGCCTGTGTTTGAACATTCCTGTGTAATGACCATCGTTCTTCTGGGTCGTTGGTGAGGTAGCTAGCTCGGCCACTGCCTGGCACTGGAGAGGTGTGAAGTTATCAGTTCCTCTGTGTCATTGGTCCTAAGTGGCAATGCCTGCTGCCCTGGGCCCAGCTGGCCCAAGAGGAAAGTCCTGTCAATGCTGCACACTGGCCATGAGAAGTGTTTGAAAAAAAGGTCATTTCTGTAGACGTATCCGTGCTTTTCCATAAATGAAGAGATCATTAAACGATCCCATTATTGGTAAGAAGGCGTTAACTCCCCAGGGATCGTATTTACAATTCCACCGTGGGTTCGCACAATCTGTCCTCACTGGGCTTGCTCTCTTATTTCAACCGGAGAAGCAATTTCTCCCGATTTGCTGTGTTATGTGACAGCTGGCACATCACCCAGGGGGTGCACTTTGGGTTGGAAAGTGCAATGTGATTCCAGGCAATTCGTGAGGTGCCCTTGCATCCACTGGAGCCCTGTGGACTGTTCTGGGAGAGATGGCTGATGGAAATCCTGTAGATGAAATAATGTACCGTGGTGCCCTTGCGTGGCTCGTAAAGTCAGGCTGTTTGATTGATGCCGGGTTGAAAGTTTTCAGTACCTTGGGTGACATTTCTGCACACGCTGTGTAGTCCTGTCAGTGGCAGAAACCGTATGAACATCGGCTGTACCGGCATAGCTTAAACGCATGGACTGGTATGGACTGGTGTCCCATCCAGGGTGTATCCTGCCATGTGCCCGTTGCTTGCTGGGATAGGCTCCAGCTCCCCCCGCGACCCTGAATTAAACGAAGCCGTTGGAAAATGGATGGATGCTGCCAGGCATAACAGACCGAGCCAAAAAAGCTCGATTGCTCCGCTCACAGTTTTTATGGTTCGTGCTTGAACCGTGTGAGTCATTTGCACGAGTCGGGCTGGTGGGATCCCCACAATGACCAGCAGAGCTGTGATCATGTCACTGTTCAGACACAAGCAGGTCTGTGGCAGACAAGCACTCAGCCTTCGCCTTTTCTAGGTCTTAGACCCAAACAAGACTGTGCTTGAACGCAGGACTCTAACCTACAAAAACTCCCAAGTGATTGTGAAGCAATACTGGAGTCCTTTGAAAAACCCTGGTTTCTTTCTAGAAGCGAGGGATGAGGCTGGAAGAGGTCCATGGAAATATTTTGGTTTTGTCCTGGCATGCGAGTTTGAGAAAATTGTCCTTCGTGTCTGTTTAGACCAGTCGTTCTTTTGTAAACCCACTGGCAGTGTATTTATCTTATTGGGTAGAGATGAAGAAATCTGATCTGTAGGTTTAAGACGGGTGAATCATAACCTGTTCAAGACGTTGCAGCAGCTTTCCTAGTTCAATGATTGCAATTTTGATGTAGCCAAACAACATTTGTTTGTTTTAAACCGGTTAACTACGGCTGTTTTTGCTGAGACAGAGAAGCCTGTGTATTGTATGAGATTCATATCCTATGAAAGCTTTGTATACATTTTTAGTCTCTTTTTATTTCCTGTGTTGTTTTTTGCATATTAATTTTAAATGTTTTTAATATACTACCTATCGTAGATAGTCTGCAGAGTTAACTCTAAATAAATTTAATTCTTTAATTTGAGGATTCCAGCAAACCATTTTGTCTCTGATACTGAGTAGTTTTATATTGATGCAGTGTGTTTATAATTTCTTGACTCTACAGTACCCCAAAACATAATGTATTAGATTTAACATGTGTATGCAGGTAATCATTGTCTTATTGTGTTGTTGTTTATTTTGTGTAAGTCTTGGAACCACAAAAAAACAATTTTGAAAAACATTGACGCATTACTTCTGGCCTGTATTAGTAGTCTGAGAAAATAAGAGGTAACTGGGGTTTTGGGGAAATTTGTGACAGTAGTGATTCTTTCTTGTGGAACAGCACAGGTCTTCTCAGGTCCATTAATACTCGTGTTCTCGAGGTTTTATTTGCTCTGAATTTGTGGAGGTTTGTCGGGCCTGCTCTTTCGATGGCTTTTGTCCCTGTTTGGCGATTCAGTACCTACTTGGCGACGTGTTCTTTTATTAGTGTGTGCTGGAACAATGGATCGCCAGGAGTGCTTGAAGTATAGTACTGTATACTTGGCCTTCCTGAATGATGTCGAGGTCACTTACTGTAAATAGTCCACTCTATTCCAGAGCGGTTCCGGTGAGCTCTTTTGTGCTCCTGAGCAGTCTCACAGAACTTCGTCTTTGGGGAAACGCAGAAGCAACCTTTTACCTTTTCAAATACCAAAAAATGGGCAAAGAATCGCCGTACATGAGTTACTGTAATAGTAACTGGGTATTTTGTTGATCAACGTTGCAAATGAGTGCAGAAGCGCCCTGTGACAAGACTTCCAAAAGCCCTGTGAAAGCAAAGAGAAGGGACAGGCTTGAACCCTGAGAAGGGACAGGCTTGAACAGCACTTGCTGTCTCTGGCTGTATGACGGACACTTGATGTCCAAGTTGGTAGCGGTTTTGAAATGACTGTGAAATATCTCTCCTTCATCCAGTCTGAAAGCTGGCATTCAGGATGTTCTCTTCAAGTAGCTGTCTAGTTTGGGAGTGGGGTTCTGTAACTGATTTCAAATTGTGAGTTTGGGCTGTTGATGACAAGTTCAGTAATCCCTCACTATACGAGTTTTCATTGGTGCGAGATGTAGTCATTTTCCTACTTTCCATTTAACGAGCAGATTTGCAAGCTCTTGCAAGTTGGACTCTCGTAAAGCTTTGCCACGATTGGTCCTTTCCCACATCTTCTAGAGGAATTTTCTTTTTATTTTTTATTACATTTTAACTGCTTTTTAATAAAGGCTTGTGTACGTAGTACAGAACAGTAACTAGCGTTTATGATTTGCTTACGACTGTAACGCATCTATTGTGGTGTGCCATAAACGGGCAGCGGTGTTATTGATTTCCTACCTGTTGTTTATGCATCAGCTAATGTCTTTAAGCATGTTACTTAAATAATTAACCAGGAATGGTATTCGTTTCATACTTGGCTGCGACCTGTGCTGTATCATGGTGAGGTTCAGTTGTTTGGAGGGAAGATGTTTGAGTTCTGGAACCCATCGGAGTTTATGACACAGCAAGAAATGGGAATTTAATTTCCATCATATAGGTTTTCACTTTACGAGCGGTTTTCAAGGAAATAATTACCCTTGTATAACGAGGGGTAGCTGTATTGTGCTTCTGATGTGGGAGATGTGAGCTTCCTTGTCACGCGCAAGTCGACGTCTGCAGCTGTTGGAAATTGTGATGTACGGCAGGGGTGTGAGGGCAGTAAATCAGGTAGCATGGTAAAAACAGTGCCCTGCCCGGAGGTGTCTGGTAATTGGTTCAGTTCACGTGTGTGTTTCGTTTTTTTTTGTCTGTTTTACAGATGTCGGTAAAAGGCACTGCTACTTTGACAAGCAGGTTGCCAAGTTTTGAAGCGTGTGCCTGTTGCACTAGGGGTCAGTCATTGGCTAAATATTTTTTTTTTTTGCCCGAGTTAGACTTTTAAAGGGACTGTGGAGCCTGGAATCCTGTGCAGTCAGAGCTCACGGCACCTAAATTAGCCCCACAGCTGTCAGGGCCGACAAGTCCAGCTATACCCAGGCTGCAGGAGTTAAGGGTCTATACGGCTCTGCTGTCTATGTGATAATATAGCACATCTCACAGGGGTCCTGTCTTAGTTTATTGCTGTCTGGCGAATAGAGGCTCATTTATTCCTTTAAGCCAATCTTAAGCCTCCGTTGAATTTGTTTTATTTTTCTGTTCTTACTTTTAGGAATAAAACACTGTACGTATTTTATTTGAAATAACGCAGAAGATGTGGAAAAGACTAATGTTCTGTTTATGGGTAGCAAGTACTGTCATAGTGCTGTTCTCTTTCTCAAGATTGCTTTCATGGCTGGTATGAAATCTCCAAGTACTGTGTGTTGTAATACACCACACCTGTGGGCTGT